AAACAAATGGATGTGTTATACTCAGGGGATACGGGACAATACATACTAAATGAAGACTTACATGTGTGCTGTGTGGTATTGTGTGCTCGACTGGGACATGCGAGAGGCTTCCTGGTGACTGCTAGGTAAGAGGAGAATTTACAACATGAGCTTGTGATTTGATATGACGCACGATCTGGGATTCTTACAATATGTTTGTCGGATTCTGACTTGCTACCAACAAGAGGAGATGGATGATTTGGTGGTCCGACAAATTGCCTGGTAGGTGTGTCTTCTGCATTCTATCCAGTGCATATATATGTAAGTGTCATGTCGATCAAATTGGCTATGGTGTAACTCACATTGACTTGTTTGTTATTGGTATCAATATCAATTGCGGTGTTGGGTTCAGAGGTGTGAATTTGCCTGAACAAACTATCGATTTGATGCATAAGCTCCTTTTGATGTTCAACCGTCATTCCTAGAAGTCTCGAGTGACAAATCTTGATGAATGAGTTGACCGTTGGTTCAGAGGTGCTTGAAGGAGTAAGCTCGCAGGTGGGTGACTTGGGTTGAATATCAGCGCAGCCAAGAGTTCTCAATGCAAGCTCGGCATTGAGGTCATTGTGCGAGGCTGTGGATGGTTGGGATGTAGGAAGCGTGAGAATTTGTGGCGTGTTTGTAGATTGGAGTTTGATATCAGCGTTGGGTTGATGATTGTGTGTGATATTGACGTGAACAACAGTCCAAGTTTGGTCGGTCGAATTGTATCGTGCCTTGAGGGTAAATGGGCAGTTGATTTTCAAAGACTTTGACTCCTTTGTAGGGTCTTTAGCTGTTTCAGGTTTGCCACTGCGGTGGCAGATATACTTACATCGTTGCTTCTTCTGCACCGAGGATCGACCAATAGATATGTGATAGCCGTGCTGAGGGCTGAATCCCTTGACATACTTGTTCATCAATTCTAGCGTAGGTCCAGGAAGTATGATGGGAGGCGGGGCTGGAATACTGTTGTTCGATTGGGTGGCTTCTGACTCCATGATTGAGATCTGATGAGACGATTGGTATGAGTGATTTGACGAGGATATTCAATAAAGGAAGTTGAATCTGGATACCTTAAGCAGTGTTTTTGGCAAAAAGTTGTATGTCAAGAGAAGTCGGGTGTGGTGGTGTTGAACGTTGGGTGGTGGTGAGAAAGTGGTGAAGAGGGGGGTGAGGGAGATCGGGTAGTTGGTGAGAAAGTGGTGAAGAGGGGGGTGAGGGGTGGTGGGAAAATCGGTTTGAGAGGGGTGAGGGGGGTGAGGGGTGGTGGGAAAAGTGGGTGGTGAGTGGGTGGTGAGCTGGCAGAGAGTGGTGGTGAGGGTGGTGAGGTGTTGGTAGGTGTTTGGGGGGGGACTTTGGACTTGGCCGGATTTTGAGGCTACCAGAGATATATCTATGCCTCTAGATATATCTAGATTATGTTTTCGGACTCCATGGGTCGGTACAGTGTGCCGTACAGTCGGATACACTTAGTAGTTTTGGAAACGTACAGGTGGTATTCTGATATGTTCATCTTACTAATATGATTCATATTACTCTCAGTTGGAGCATTTCAATGCTTTACTCACCCGAAGCAATGCCAGGCGTGGGCAAGTTTCAAGCCCGAGCAG